AATATAAGATAATAAACCCCAAACCAAGAACCAAGGCCGGTTGTGATGAAACATTCGTCTAATTTCCCGAATTATAAAAAGTTATTCTACAAAGTTCGTATGACCCCAAATTATCGACTTAATGATTATGGTCTCCTAAATCTCAGGGCCGGCCTAACATTCCACGAAAACCTGTGAATCAGTAGCATGTAACCTACCTAGCAACTGCAATGACAACGGCTCCACAAATCTTTCCGATTTGAACAGCTGCAAGACCAACACCACCCGCAGCGCCAAGAACCATCAAGACCTGTACCAAAACCAATGGAGCTTCTCAATCTTTTTCATAAGCTCAATAGCATCAAGAAAGAAACTGAAGCGTAAGATATACCTGACCAGATGTCAGACGAGCTCTATGGACAAGAGCTACGTGAGAAGTCCCAAACGCAACAGGAAGTGCAGCTGCAGCGATCATATCACATCCTTCCGGTACAAGAAACCTGACAACAACCACCAATCACCATGATTCAATCACATTAAAACAACAAAGACACAGAGAGAGAGATTGTGTGTTGACGAACAGGAGAGACTGATCGGCGACGATGAACTGAGCGTAGGAACCGAGAGGGGCGAAGGAGCAGACACGATCTCCGACGCGGAATTTCGTGACGGACGGACCGATGGCGTCGACGATTCCGGAGTAGTCGGAGCCAGGGATGAAAGGTAACGGAGGCTTCTCCTGGTACTTTCCCAGAATCTGGAGATAGTTCGCGAAGTTCAAGCTCGTCGCTGTCACTTTAACTCTCACCGCTGTATCTGAGGTTAGAGGAGGGATCGGGTGGTTTTTGCTCACTTCCACCGGAGATTCTGGACTCCCTGGCTCCGTCGCCGTCGGATCCCCTAGCTTCCGGCATACCAAAGCCTCCATTTTGCTCTCTCTCTCTCTCCCTTACACGATCTCTCTCTCTCTCTCTCTTGTCTGGAATGGTTAGATATCTTATCTATTGCCTAAATTATGACGTCACTCTGGAAACGGCGTCGCTTCAATAAAATAAGAGATCTTTTGTACAACCCAACCACATTATTCACATGAACCGAACACCTACTTAAACTTGACCATACTAGCTGTGTGTATGTATGGACGGAGAGGAAAACACTGAGAGAGGCTTGACGATTTAGGAACTGGTGTTGTGTCTCTTTGCGTTCAATATATTCATACTATAACTTATAGTCTATAAGGTCGATGAAGAGGGTGATTTCCTTGAACTGGAAAAAGTTTGATCCGTATGTGAATATCTTAGATCATGCCACCGTTCAACCCTGTAACTGATTAACTTCTCTACTAATAGTTTTTAGTAACTATTCAAAGTCATATGCAATATACTTTTTTACACATTGATAATAGAGTCGTCTTTGTTTGGTCTTATATGACCGTAATGGCTCTTTGAGTTTTGACTACTTTGATGTTTCATGAATTAAACAACAGATGACAAATACATATTGATAACGGAGTTAGGGAATTTATCATTTGCTTTGTAACAGTTACAAACAACTTGTTAGCAGTGAGGCCATGAGACCTCCCTTGCTCTACACGTATGAGAGGAGAAGGAAGAGAAAGGATCAGAAGGAATCAACTTGGGATGGTGACGTGTACAAGGGTGATATCTTATTGGATGCTTTAAGGAGAATAAGGAATAAAAGACGTTGGTGTGCTGGAGATAACGGCTAACGTCCCACGTGATGAGTAGCGTTGTTTGTCGTCTTGTCTATTTATAGGACAGAGAGTATTGTACGAGAGACTATCAAGAGATTTGATCAGAATTGTAAAAGGGAAGAGAGAGATCCCAAGAGAAATACTCTCTAGTCTTGTATACATTTTCTGATTGAATACAAATCTCGTTACCTCTTTAGATCCCATAACAACTTGGTATCAGAGCCATTCTTTTCTGGAAAATCAACGATGGCGCCGAGAAAGAAATCTGATATTGATCTCGCTATGGAGAACATGAGGGAAGAGATGAGTAAGATCGGAGTGTTTGAGAACACGATGGAGGGTCTCAAGGAGTCAGTGGCTGAGATCCGAAGTCGGATGAGTGTGTTGGAGAGGTTGGAGCAGAGATTGAACGACGACGATGAGACTCGGAAACGGGAGGTCGCGGCGTTGTTTCAAGCCTCGCTGCGTCGTTATGAAGAGGAGGAGGTGTCTCATCCCGTCCAAAGGCCAGGCAAACAAATCGCCGCCGAAGAAGAACAGAGCGGTCTTTTTCGCGCTGGAGGTTTGGGACTTCGTTCGGAAACGGTGACAAGACAGGCGGAGGGGCGCAGTCGGTCGCCGGGTCCACGCGATCGTCCCTACCAACCAACGGGGGAGAAACATGATGAGTCGATGAGAAAGTTGAAGATCCCACTCTTCAACGGTGAAAATCCAGAGAGTTGGGTTATGCTTGTGGAACAATATTTTGAGTTGGATGATTTTTCGGAGGAGAGGAAGCTCCGAGTTGTGAGGATGTATTTTGACGATGAAGCGTTGATGTGGTATCGATGGGAGCATGATCGAAACCCTTTTTTCAGTTGGGAGCAGATGAAGTTTCGAGTGCTGGAGCAGTTCTCGGAATCTCATGAGATGACTGCTCGCGAGCGGCTGATGACATTGAAGCAAACTGATACGGTACGGGAGTATTGTCGAGATTTCATATCACTGGCGACTAACGCTCCGGAGATACCCGACGCGATCTTAGAGACGGCATTCATGATTGGGTTAAAACCTCAAATCCGAGCTGGAGTGAAGCTGATGGAGCCCAGAAACTTGAGGAAGATGATGAGTGTAGCCAATTTGGTGGAGGACTGGGCAAACTATGGGGATCCGACGTCGGAGAAAGAAGGAGGAAAGGGGATACGCGGAGGAAACTCGTCGGTTGCGTCCACAACCACGGTCCGTAGTGGATCTGGTTTAGGAAGTGGATCTGGGCCTAATAACTCTTTCAAGCCCAAGTCCTCTTCTGGGCCAGAGAAGGCTACTGATCAGCCCGATAAGCGTCCAACGACCCAAAACCCTAATGGAGCAGGAAAAGGGAAAACCGGGTTCCGCCGCCTGTCTCCCACCGAGTTTGCGCGATATCGAGCGGAGGGGCTCTACTTCCAGTGTGGAGGGAAGTCTCACTCTAGACGGGACTGTCCTAATAAGGAACTGACGGTGATGATAGTTCAGGAGGAGGACAATGAGGAGATGGATGATGAAGGAGTGGAGGAAACTAAAGAGGTGGAAGAGACGGAGTTTGCAGAGTGTGCGACACTTTCCGCTAGATCGGCAGTGGGCATATCATCTCCGCGTACTATCAAACTTCGTGGGGTGATTGGAGAAAGCCAAGTGGTTGTGTTGATCGACAGTGGTGCGTCGCACAATTTCATTGATGATCGTTTGATGAAGGAGATGGGGGTGGAAGCCGAGAACACCAAGAGCTTTGGGGTGATAACGGGGTCAGGAGGACCGGTGAGAGGAGGTGGTATATGTCGGAATGTGACACTGGAGATGCAAGGTTAGTCGGTGACAACCGATTTTCTCCCTTTGGAGCTGAACAATGTCGATATAATCCTAGGGATTCAATGGTTGGAGACGTTGGGTGAGATGTGTGTCAATTGGAAGTTGCAAACGATGAAGATGCCGGTGGAGGGAAAATGGGTGACGTTGCAAGGGGTTCCTAACCTATGCAGTGCTGAAGTTTCTCTCAAAGGATTGCAAAAAGTGTTGGAACAACAGGAGTTAAGCGTTCTGATAGAATGTCGTGAGCTGGGACTTGGGGATAAGACAGCGGAGAAGACTCCCAAGTACCTCCAGAAGCTGTTACTCAGTTACGGGAAGGTATTTGAGGAGCCGCAAGGATTACCACCAGTGAGAGACAGAGAGCATGCGATTACTCTCACACAAGGAAGTAACCCCGTCAGTGTCCGGCCATTTCGCTATCCACACGCTCAAAAGGAGGAGATTGAGAGACAAGTGATGGCAATGCTAAAGGCAGAGATTATTCAAGAGAGCATTAGCCCTTTTTCCAGTCCAGTCTTGTTGGTGAAGAAAAAAGATGGGAGCTGGCGTTTTTGCGTGGATTACAGAGCCTTAAATAAGGTTACTGTAATGGATAGCTATCCCATTCCGATGATTGACCAGTTGCTTGATGAGCTACGAGGAGCGGTGGTATTTTCAAAGTTGGACTTACGGGTAGGGTACCACCAGATACGAGTCAAGGCAGAGGATGTGCCAAAGACGGCGTTCAGAACACATGACGGGCATTACGAGTTCTTAGTAATGCCCTTTGGACTGACCAGCGCTCCAGCCACATTTAAGTCCGTCATGAATGAGGTATTCAGGCCGTATCTGAGGCAATTTGTGCTTGTATTCTTTGATGATATTCTTGTGTTCAGCAAGAGTCCTCAAGAGCACGCCAAACACTTGCGGCTAGTCTTGGAAAAGCTGCAGCAACATCAGCTGTATGCCAATCGAAACAAATGTGAATTTGGGAGCTCCAGTATCGAGTATCGTGGGCACATAATCTCGGCAGAGGGGGTAGCCGCTGACAAAGCCAAGATCACAGCCATGACAGAGTGGCCAACACCCAAGAACGTCAAGGCGTTGAGAGGTTTCTTGGGCTTGACAGGCTATTACCGACGTTTTGTTCAGGGCTATGGAGAGATTGCAAAGCCACTGACGGATCTCTTGAAGAAGGATAAGTTCATGTGGAGTGAGTTGGCTGCTGAAGCATTTAGCAAGCTCAAACACGCAATGACGACGGTTCCGGTGTTAGCACTGCCAGACTTCACAGTCCAGTTTGAGGTAGAATCTGACGCTTCAGGAAAAGGCTTGGGAGCTGTCTTGATGCAGGGCCGCATGCCGATAGCGTTCTTCAGTCAAGTCCTGTCGAAGCGTCAGCAGCTGAAGTCAGTGTATGAGCGTGAGCTTATGGCCATTGTTTTTGCCATACAAAAATGGAGACACTATCTATTGGGGAGGAAGTTTGTGGTAAGGACAGACCAGAAGAGCTTGAAGTTTCTATTGGAACAGCGGGAAATCAATATGGAATACCAACACTGGTTATCAAAGTTGTTAGGATTTGACTTTGATATTCACTACAAGCCGGGGCTTGAGAACAAGGCGGCAGATGCGTTGTCAAGGAGGGATATGGCGGCGGAGCTGATGGCTATGTCGATACCAACAGCCATCCAGTTCCACGACATCGAGAAGGAGTTATCTTGTGATGACGCTTTGCATAAGATTGTGAGTGAAGTGCTGACTGATCCTAAGAGCCACCCAGATTACACAGTGGTTCAAGGGAAGTTGCTGCGTCGTGGGAAGCTTGTGTTACCGAAGGTGTCAAAGTTGATTGGGGTAGTATTACAAGAGTTACATGATGGGCGCATGGGAGGACATGGAGGCGTGCAACGCACACAAAAGAGGGTAGGAGAGTTGTTCTATTGGGTTGGGATGATGAACGACATCAAGCAATATGTGGCAGCTTGCTCAGTGTGTCAGCGTCACAAGTACTCAACGTTGGCACCGGGAGGCTTGTTGCAGCCGCTAAACATTCCTGACGCGGTATGGGAAGAGGTTGCTATGGACTTCGTGGAGGGGTTACCACGGTTTGACGGGTACAACGCGGTGCTGGTAGTGGTGGATCGGCTGTCTAAATATGCTCACTTCATCAGACTACGATATCCGTTTACTGCAACAGATATTGCAATGCTGTTTGTTCAAGAGGTGATTAAGTTACATGGGTTCCCAAAGAAGATAGTGTCTGCCAGGGACAGGGTTTTTACCAGTCAATTTTGGAAGGAGCTGTTCCGCCTGGCAGGTACTAAGCTGTGTATGAGTACTGCCTATCACCCACAAACTGATGGGCAGACTGAGGTGACAAACAGGGGACTAGAGACGTATCTACG